AGATCCGACAGCAATAGCTACCTGGACTCAGAACTTCGCCTGTATTATAGTTTGTTCGTTCACTCGTATCATAGCGGTATCTTGGCTACACGGCTAAGCCATCCACTTGGACAGCTTGCGTCGGTAATTGTATCCCAGCTGCGTAAGGTAAGCTATGGAACAGCACTTTTCAAGTGAAAGGAAAGCAAAAGATGTGACTTCAGATTCGACATTGAGATCATGCTCTCCATTGGAGAGCGTTCAGTCTCTTCCTATCATATGATTTTTGTAAAGAATCATCACCAGCCATTTTTAGGATGAAGAGAACCAAAAAAAAATTAATGCGAGCCACAATTCCGATGAAATAGAGCAGCCAAATTCCTTGCTTACCTAATAGCAGTGCTTCAGTTTTGCTTGTGTGGGCCCGAGGTACCCTGCACGCGTTCCGTCGCAGTGGAAATACCTTTGCACAAGCGCGTTCATTCAAGGATCTTCCAGCCTCCGAGTCTGAATCTGGACTCACTTTTTGTTCAGTTTCTTCATCACTACGCATGCCGCCAGTCAATACTTCTCTTACCGGTTGCGCATCACCTCCGCGACCGATTCTTTGATTATGAGCGACTTTGGTTCTTACGGCGGCTCCGACGAGGAGTACGCCTCGGTGCGCAAGCACAATGCCGCAGTGGTACGTTGTTGACGACGGGAGCACTGTGTCGGGAGTCTTGACGGCTTACGATGACCTTCATGCAGGAAGCCGATCCCGACAGTTTCGAAAACTGGGAAAACCTCATCAAGGCGTGCGAGACCCTCGATGGCGGTCTGAACCGCAATTCCAGCCCCCAGGCGCTCGCCACGTTTCGCGACGCCTACGACCGATTTCTCTTCAAGTTTCCTCTGTTATTTGGCTACTGGAAGAAATATGCCGATCTCGAGTTCAATATTGCGGGACCAGAATCTGCCCAAATGGTACGTTGCTCAGTCTGGAACAGCGACAAATCAATAGCTAACCGGCGTGCCACAGGTGTACGAAAAAGGATGCGCCAGCATCACCAGTTCTGTCGACTTGTGGACAGACTACTGCTCCTTCACCATGGAGACTACTCACAATCCACATCTCGTCAGAGAGTAAGTTGATTGTCCTTTTCCCTGCAACATATCACTCAACGCAGCACGCGCTTGCGCATCGATCCACGGCCGCGAGCCTTGACAGACCCTGTTCTTGCAGTCTGCTGGTGAGATATCCGGCGCTCCCTAACTTTCTGGATGCCCCCTTACGCTCTGCCAGTGATGATGCTTTTGATCGCAACCTACCTCCATCCCCGGTTCAGATTGCTCAACCACCCGATGCCTAGCATCACTTCCCTCGCTGGATACCCAGTCTTGAAGCTGGATGTCATACCTCATGGCCCTTGTATTTACCCTGACTCCCACTTCCCTCCCGTGACGGCTTTGCGAGATCGCATCTAACACTGATCTAGACTTTTCGAGCGGGGCGCCTCATTTGTCGGGCTAGACTTTTTGGCCCACCCCTTCTGGGACAAGTACATCGAGTACGAGGAGAGGCAGGAGGCGCAAGATCGCGTTTTTGCGCTTCTGGCCCGCATTGTGCGCATTCCAATGCACCAATACGCACGCTACTACGAGCGCTTTCGCGCTCTCGCTCACACACGGCCACTGGCCGAGGTCGTGGATGCAGGCACATTGGCCAAGTTTCAGGCTGAGATTGCTGAGGAAGCGCCCGGTCAACGACCAGAGCTCGATGTGGAGCGTGATATACGGGCCAAGATTGACAGCATGTATTTTGAATTGTTTCAATCTACGCAGAACGAAGTGTCGAAGCGTTGGACATATGAGTCGGAGATTAAGCGCCCATACTTTCACGTCACAGAGCTGGAACACTCTCAGCTAAGCAACTGGCGCAAATATCTTGACTTTGAGGAGTCTGAAGGTGACTACAACCGCATCGTATGCTTGTACGAGCGGTGTCTGACGACATGCGCATTCTACGACGAGTTTTGGTACCGCTATACGCGATGGATGTCTTCACAAGCGGAAAAGGAGTCAGAGACGAGGAACATCTTCATTCGTGCCGCCACGATGCATGTGCCGGTGAGTCGACCGGGCATTCGCATGCAATGGGCGTACTTTGAAGAGAGCACAGGCCGGGTGGGTGTAGCGTTGGCGATCCACGAAGCGATCCTGATGAAGCTGCAGGACTGCATTGAGGTGATTGTTTCGTGGGCCAACGTGGAGCGCCGGCAGAATGGTGTCGACGCTGCCATTCAGGTGTACAAGGACCAGATTGACGCACCGACGGTAGATTTGTACACCAAGGCAGCGCTGGTGGCTGAGTGGGCGCTGCTGGTGTGGCGCGGCAAGGGCTCGGCGGAGGATGCGCGCGCCATTTTCATAAAAAATGTGCAGTGGTACGCCGACAGCCGGCACTTTTGGGATAAGTGGTTCGAGTTCGAACTCGGCCAGCAGGTCGACGGCAAGAGCGCTCCAGACCAGGCAGAGCGCATGCAACACGTCTTTGAGGAGCTCCGCGGCAAGAGCCGGCTGTCGGGAGCGTCGAAGCAAGAGCTCGCGCAGGCGTATATGAACTACTTGGTGCAGCAGGGCGGCAAAGAGGCGATGAAGCAGTTCCTAGAGGTGGACCGAGAGATGTTTGGACCGGCGTCCGTGGGCGGCAAGGCGTCATCAGCAAAGGAAAATGGCGGACCGCCTGCCGGGGAGCTCGACGAGGCGAGCCGGCGCAAGGCCGAGACGCAGTGGCTCAAGTTTTACGAGGCACACTTTGAGCCGGTAGCTGATGCGCAGGGGACGGCAGATTTCAATTGAGGGATGTAATAGTTCAAGTTGGGAATACCAGATGATGCGAAAGGCTACTATAGTATGTACGTTGGCGTTGTGTCTGTAGCTAAGAGGCCCGGCGCGGCCAGGAATCAGGGCGGCGATAGTGCTTGGCCATGTCAAAACAATCTGAATCTTAGTTTTTTCGAGTCATTCGTTGATGAGGCGCAAGTGAAGAAAATAGGTCCGTGATCGGCGAGAAGATGGCCGTAGTACCTGAAATAGTTCGATCGGCTTGTGAATCTGGCCGGCTATCTGGTATGCGGCGATTCACGGTCCTCTTGCGCTTTGAAATGGCCCGGTTCCGACTTTGCCCATGGAAGACTTCGGAGGCCAAGAAGATCAGATGAGTCAGCAAGGAACCGACAGTGGCGGCAAACGGCCAACGGTCCGGCTATATTGGATTGTATTTTAGCTATGAACTGGAACGAAATTAGGCAATCGCCACCGATGCTGCTTTTTTCTTCTTTCCTTTAGATTCCATATTCGTAATCATTAAAAGATCTCATTGGATCGTTCTCGTCACCTCGTTCGTTTCTTCGGCCAACCGGGTACATTGGTTTGCTCGGCTTCCCACGTTCCACATCGACCCATTTTCTCACACCTTTTTTGCCTGACGAAAAAAAGACCCGCCACGACCCGCCGTTGCGAGCCACTCAGATGTTGCCAATTTCAATTGTGCCTGTGAGCAAAGGGGTCCAGAGCAACTCTCTTTTTTTTTTTGCTTGGCCTGCGATGGATTGAGGAGTTAATCAGTCAAGAGAGGTACCTGTGACGAAATCAGAGCGCGCGGTCCTCGGCTCTGCCCCGACACGGGTGCCTGTGGACCCTCTCTTCCACTTGCAAACCCGCCCTTTGGCCCTTTCTGCTGTTTTGTATTTCTCAGCCTCCGTCCCCCACAGCCGTCGCCACTTGCTTTCTTTTCTTCTTTTCCTTGCAAAGCTTGTTAATACTGTATCAGCAAGACTCTTGTATCATCGTGAGTTGGACCCCCCATCCCTCATTTCCTTGCCGAATCATCCCCGAGCTCTCGGCAAACACGCACTCTTCTTTATAAGTGCCAGGCCGGGTTTGCCCAAGCTGCGCAAACGCTACTCATTCTCTCATCTTTTCCACCCAGAATACATATCTTACTGATACCCCTTTCAGTGTTTCAAAATGGCTTCCTTTTCTCGCCAATTCGCCCGCGTCGCGGCGCGCAACACCTTTGCCACAGCCGTCCCCCGTCAGGCCCTGCGCAGCGGCCGCCGCTTCTACTCGTCTGAAGGCCCCAAGAAGTCGTCGTCGTCTGGCCTCCTCTACCTTGGCGGTGCCGCCGCCGTCGGTGGTCTCGGCTACTGGTTCTACCGCAACAACGCCGGCGCGGGCGCCAAGCTCGCCAACCCGACAAAGGCCGACTACCAGGCCGTCTACGACGAGATTGCGTCGCGGCTCGAGGAAAAGGACGACTATGACGACGGTAGCTACGGCCCCGTGCTAGTACGCCTCGCCTGGCACGCCTCGGGCACCTATGACAAGGAAACCGGTACTGGCGGCAGCAACGGCGCCACCATGCGCTTCCACCCAGAGTCGAGCCACGGCGCCAACGCTGGCCTGGTCGCGGCCCGCGACTTTCTCGAGCCTGTCAAGGCCAAGTTCCCCTGGATCACCTACTCTGATCTGTGGATTCTAGGCGGCGTCTGCGCCATCCAGGAGATGCAGGGTCCCATCATTCCCTACCGCCCCGGCCGCGCTGACCGCGATATGGCCGCCTGCACGCCCGACGGCCGCCTGCCTGACGCCACCCAGGGCCAGGACCACCTCCGTAACATCTTTTACCGCATGGGCTTCAACGACCAGGAGATTGTCGCTCTCTCCGGCGCCCACGCCCTCGGCCGCTGCCATCGCGACCGCTCCGGCTTTGACGGTCCCTGGACCTTTTCCCCGACCGTCTTGACCAATGACTTTTACACGCTGCTTCTCGAGCAAAAGTGGGATTTCAAGAAGTGGGACGGCCCCAAGCAGGTATGTCAAATTGATACGTGGAATTGAAGAAGAATCAGCCAAACTAACTCATCGCACAGTACGAGGACAAGAGCACCAAGAGCCTCATGATGCTGCCCACCGACATGGCCCTGGTCAAGGACAAGGCCTTCCGGACCCACGTCGAGCGCTACGCCAAGAGCAACGACGAGTTCTTCAAGGACTTTTCCGCCGTTGTCCTGCGTCTCTTTGAGCTCGGCGTGCCTTTTCCCGCCGGCAGCGAGTCGCAGCGCTGGACCATGAAGCCCACCTGGGATGAGAGCAACTAGATGCGCAACAGGAGAAGAAGTGGTTGGTTGCATGCGATTGTGTAGATTTAGAAATTTAGACGATAGACGGCCAGACTGGCCCCAGCCCGAGCGGCTGTTTTGTTATGTTGTAGAGCAAAGCCGACAGTCCTTTTTCTGTCAATGTACGAATTTTTTTTTTAAGGTTTAAACAATGTTCAAGTTCCCCTGCGCACTATGACGCAGTGTGGCGTAGAAGAAAGTTGCTGGAGAATGGCCGGAGCCGCATTGGGCACAAAGAGGCCAATTGATCGACAGGGCATCTTGGTGGCTTTTCTCCGAATTCACATGTACGAGTTGCATCGTCTGCCCTTTTTCGCGATGCTTTGCAATGCTTTTTTTTTATTTCCCTCGATGTACCATCAGAACACCTCTGCAGCTAACTGTTCATGTCGCTGCAAAGGCGCGCGCCTTATGTACGAAAAGTTACATCGTCTGGCCCTTTTTCGCATGCTTGCGAATG